GGAAAGCATATCTGTATGATCCTTTTTTTATATAAATTTTGGGGTGTATTACAAAATTCATCTTTACTATCCTTTGCATAAAATTTAAATATTTCTTGTCATGTTTGTTTTCATTTATTGCTAGATCATGCCCTAATTATTAGCACAATATGACTAGCTACAATTAATGATTATTCTCTAAGCACTTAACTATATTCTAGTGATACAATTATTCACTAAATATAATCAAGTTCAAGACAAAAATTTGTTGTAATTGCAATGTTCCAAGTCCTTATCCCAAGCAGTTCCTAATAAAGTAATGAATCTATCACTGTCTACAAACTCTGGATTAAATTTAGACAAATGGATTCTCTTTGGTTCGTGTGGGGTAAATATTGCAAATAGGTACATCCAACCTTAGTTACTCACAAAGTGAGGGACTCTAACATATGGTCTAATTTTTTTAGAGTTAGATCTCAGGTTGAAGATCTGTTTATATGGGAATTGTTGAGGGACAAATTAATATTTGGCTTGATAATTAGGCTTTTGATGGGAAGCTCCTTCAGAATCAACCCAACATCACAAATCTCAACGTCAAGGTTGTTGATTGCTGAGAGAATAATCAGTGGTGCAGTATAATTCTCAATACCTTACTGAATACCAATCAAATGAATCAGGTGGTAACAGTTCCCTTTGACATATTCAAAGAGATAAAATCATTATAAAGAAAACCAATTCCCAAAGCTCTTCTGCCTACATATACCAAGCTCTTTATAACTGGGAGAAGGTTAGTTGTGGTAATCATATTTGGAAAATTTCCGTCACCATATATGTCTTTCTTCTGTTGGAGACTGTTCTTAAAATTGTTACTAACCGATGACATTCTAAAGCTTAAAGGCCTGAGGGGCCCCTCTTGGTGTATGCTATGTTAGCAAGATGAATAATCAATAGATCATTTGTTCTTTAGCTATTCTTATGTCTGAGCCACATGGAGATTCATAACCAGCCACCTCATATAACGTTGTTATCCTTAGCTAGGACCATTTTACCACTAGTTGGCTAGATTTGCAGTCTGTCAAGCTCTCCCTTATTCCCTGCATTGTTTCCTGATTTTGTTGGATGGTCAGGAATAAAGCTAAATATGAGGACATGAAACTTAGTACTCACAAGTGGCAAACCATTGCCTATCCTGCCTTCTTAAACTCATATAACACATGCATTTCCCAAATATCAGCAAAGTTATGGTCATTATTCACTCCATGAACTATAATCCCTTGGTCTCCAAGGTGTATTGGCATAAACCCCTCCATCCTTGGATCAAATTCAATATTGTTGGCAGCTTTCTCCATGAAGATGAAAGAATTGATGATGAATTCAGAGATTCTTTGGGCAACTGACTGCTTTATTTCCAGTCTCCAACTTTGGCACAAGGTTCACTTGAAGCTGAAACCATTGTTGTTTACTTGGCTCTCATCATTACAGGACAAGGAAATTGGCATCATCTCCACATAGAATCAGACTCTCAAATATTGATCCAGATTTTGATGAATGGCACTTGACACATTGGATTTGCAAAATCAAATCCCTTGATGTTTCCCTTTGTGTCATACACTCTTACATTCCTAGAGAAGGAAATAAGCCAACCCATTGGCTTGCAAAACAAGGAAATCTTACTGATGAAATTGTAATTAGCAAAATTCCAAGTTCACTTTCTTTACTTTTGGTAGGGGATAATTTCGGTCTCTCTTACATTAGAATGTTATAATTTCTTTTTTGGTTAATGAATCTCCCACATTAGCATAGATACATTTTTTGTATCTATTCTTATTGTTGTTTTTTTGCAATATATATATATATATATATATATATA